ACATCAATATTGTGGTCTGCGTATACAACCCGTGGAGAACCGGAGAAATTATGGGTCCAGAAGATCGCAAGCTTCAGGAGAAATCTGTTCTGGGGCAGAACAGTCTTAAGGAGGGGGTAGTGTTACAAGTCAGGAGCCCCGCGCAACAACAGACGCTGTCTCAAAAGGGTTGTTTGTCAACACGGGATTCTCAGAACGCACCAGTGACAGACAATAGACCCATGTCAACGGACTACGTCAACAGGGTCTTTGACATCCACCAGAAGCTTCCACGGCGATTTGTAAACAGCTTTGTCCAAAGGTGCCTGATTCCTCTAGAATGTTCTACGGTAAACCTAAATAAGGGACCATCTTTCTGCACACGGCAGTTAAGTCTAGTCGAGTCGGAGACCAGCGCAGCGACCGCCCGCCGATGTGAGTGACCAGTGTTAGTGACAGTGACAGTGTAGTGACAGTGTAGTGACGGTGTAGTGACAGTGTAGTGACGGTGTAGTGACAGTGTAGTGACGGTGTAGTGACAGTGTAGTGACGGTGTAGTGACAGAGACAGGGATAAATCCTGTAGAGGTTAGCTGTAAGTAGAAACATTGTAAGTTAAAATAACCTCGGCTTTTTTTAGCTAAATTTAGGTAGGGTTAGTTAGGTGTTAGGTGATTGTAATTAAATAGAGAATGATAAGTGTAAATAAATAGCTATTATAAAATAACCAAGTTTTTACTGTCAAGAACCTGTTAAGCACGCAACAATATTATAATGAATTTGGTCCCCACACAGAATTTTGACGTCACTTTATGGCGCTCAAACAGGGACACACATTGTTCTAAGATATTATAATCACACATGAATGTAGGATACTATCCATTTTCATAGTAATGTAAAGTATTGTAATTTAAAATAATGGTTTGAATACTATCTCGAGAAGAAAACAGCAAAAATACTGGTAGCCGCATACCGTACCGATTTTGTACCGAGAACCGAGCTACAAAATATTGTACAGGGGTGCCCATCCCCCCCTAGACTCATGACGCACCCCCCCCCCCCAATTGAGCAACAACCCCCCCCCCCATAAAGGATTTACACAACAAATGAGAAACATTATTCCCCCGCCCAGCACTATTTGTAAAACTATAAAAGAAGTTTTATAATTTTTTTTAGATATTTAAAATTTGAACCCAGTTAATCTATATAAATAAAGTTATTGTTTTGTCTGTACGTTGCTCAGAATTATACATATTTTGGGTTATTTTTACGTCTTATACATTGAAGAAGTTGAAACATGTCTTGTCTCAATTCATGTCCGTCTGTCACGGCCCAGAAGACATTTAGGCCTACTCTAAAGAAAACTAGAGTACCGATTAGCCTATGAAATAAAATGAAATGAATGAATAAAATAATATTTTTTATTTCCCATTCATTATATACATATAAGTACATTGTTTTTTTTGTTTTTTTTTTACTTAAATATAATACAGCAAACATTACTTAAAAATTATATACTGTAGAAATAAAGCGAACAAAAGTGTAAAAAAAAACAAATACCTTCTATAACAAAGGGAAAAGTCTACATAGGCAGGGCCTGTGTGTAGACTCGAGTTGCGAAGAGGTTAATTTAGATGGGAGGTAAAAAATGAATAGAAAAAAAATAATTATTCGTATAATTTAAAAATTTTTTATATTTGTCTTGCTTGAAACTGGATTTTTAGTGTTCTGGAATTAAATTGACGATAAAAAACTCTTTGTGTGATTCTAATGGTTCTAATGATTCTAATGGTTTAATTGTATTTACAGGATTGGCGAGAGTGTCCGTATAGCCATTGAAATATAGCCTCACTATTTTGGAAATAAAATAACGGACGACCAAAAACCCAATTTTGTGTGATTTTTCTAGTTTATTTTCTCCATGTTTACTACATACGTCATTTATGAAATACTAATAATCTGTTAAGAGAACACGTCATATTATGAAATTATGAACAGATGTTTTGATAAAGATTCCTTTTTCTAGATGTCACTGATACGTTTACATAAATGTTGTTTACGAATGCTGTGTAGGCCCTAACCATTTCCATATCACGTTTGTAACCATTTCCGATCACGTTTGTAAGCAAATCCAAAACCATGTGAGATTAATAACCGTGTGGCTTTGGCTTACATAACGGGTTTGATTGATCACTGGGACTAATATGTAACTGTAAATTAAATTAAATAACTAGCCATCATCCAGGTCGGGAACCGGAGATTCTGTGTTTCAAGTTGTACTTGAATTTTGATTACCGGGAAAAGACCGTGAATCAGTGTTGTACAGGACTGGAAAACTTATCTTTCTATATAAATAAAATTACAGTTTTATAAGTCACCTCAATTTAAGGAATTTTTTATTGCCAGAATATCCAAATAGCGTTCGTAACCTCTGCTTAACGAATTGTCAGCGTCTTTCTCTTGATATAACGATCCCCTCTCCCTCCCTTTGGAAACATCACAGCTCCTTTGATGAAAATGAAATGGAAACAACGCTAGCGCCAATAATCGTCTGTTCCGTTTTACACTTCTGTCTGCTGTACGCTATGTTACAACAGATTTCAGATACAACAGCTGGGGAATGATGACGATATAATGCTTAGTAAACTGTGATTGAGTGATTATAGTAACCATGGTAACTTTAGTAAGGCTGTGATTGGCCAATGAGTAGGCCTAAATATGGCGACTTGTTGAATTTGCGTATGAATTTAAGAGAAACCTATTAAAGAACAGAAGAACAAAGAAAAGGAATAACAAGATTGTTCTCGTTACATTCTTTTTTAAGAGTGTTTTTATTAGGTATCTCTAAATATAAATTTACACTTTTTTATTACTTATCTATAAATTCCTATGCTGTGATACAGCACCTATCGGTAGCCTACCTGTCTATCATGAGCAGTACCTTATAACAGGTCCCTTTAATATTTACGATATTTATAGCAATGCAGTGTTTGGCTAGTTATTAGTTGAGTTTGAGTTAGCTATAATTTTAAACGTTGCCGTTTGTACAACTGAACCAAGATAAATGATTTGAAATTTACAATAAAATTGTTATTGCACAATAATAATGATTGTGCAATATTGAATTTCGTTTATAAGAATGCAAATCGTGACGTTAATAGCTGTTTACAGCGTTTTAATGGGTTTGTCATCTGTTTTTATACTATATTGGATTAACCGTATTTTTCATTACTCCCCCTCCATATTAACTCAGGTAATCGAGTATCTACACAATAGTGTAAAGTATTGTAGCGTATGCTACTTTATTGATTGTAAACGAGCTTTATGTCAACAAAGCGTTCTGTGCTAAGTCGCGGTGTAGCTGGACGTGTCTGTACCACGCGTTATCTTTTATCTATCACAGCAGTTGAGCTATTCCGTGCGCTCCCTCTTAGATCTCACGTCTTGCAAATCTTGAATAATAACTTTCTACACAAATCCTAAACTATCCTAAAATCCAATTTTAACTAAATAAATTTAGTCATTAATTAATATACTTTCTATCTGGCGACTTTGTAATAGGCCTATATTTTGGATTGTCGTCACGTTGAACATTGTTGCAATTAGCTTTAGCCACCCCCCCCCCCCCCAATTTGAATTTTTTGAGCCCCCCCCCCAAGAATTTCAATGACGCAGTCTGCGTCACAGCCCCCCCTTGTGGGCACCCCTGTATTGTACCATACTTACCATAATTTTCTGTACTCCAGACCCCTAGATATTAACCCTCCGAGTGTCCCTTGTTTTGGCCTTAATGTCTGCCTATTTTTTGCTCATTTGCAAGGTTTTATTAAAACGGATCTGAGAAGCTTGAAAACAATGTTAATTATACTGTTCTATATACCATTTTGTCTGGAAAATCATGGGCTTCAATATTATACATAGAACATAAGGAACATTTGTTTCAAAAAAGTTTTTTAGGTAAAAAAAATATTTTGAAAAATTTTCAAAAAAAAAAATTAAGTTTGCGCTCAATGAAATTGTATAAATTATAGGCCAATAAATATTTGAAAATAGCCACTTTGTTCTAAATTTTATGAGGATTACAAATATATAATAATATAAGGAAGTAGATTTGCAAATAAATAAGTTATGGGCAAAAAACAGATTTCAGTACATAGCGTTTAGCTAAGAATGCATAGCCTAACCATAGCTAGGAATCTGGCTGATAATTTACATCAATATCACTACCTACTTCTTCAGGATCATCAACCAGCCCTTCAAAATCACTTAAATCTTCTTATAATGCACCACGTATATCACTACTTTTGATTTTTAACACTAAAACAATGATAAACGTAATAAAACACATCAGTCATCGGTCCGAGGATAACCAAGCTGTTTACAAATAAATACGCACGTCAGCTGTCTGCTACAATATTTTTGGAACTAAAATGAATAGCGCTTAGAGACAGACCTCCGGAGAAAGCTCTGAATCTGTAAAATAAAACGATACCTAACTCGATCCACTTCAATCCGATTTTGTCAGTCATAGAGCCTTCGCCGTAAACAGTGTTTGTGAGTCGCTGCAGCGACAAATAACACTCGGAGGGTTAAGTATCATGGTAAGACCTAGACCCGGGCCAGCTTTTTTCATTTTGATGTACCCAGAAGCCAAAACTTTAGCCATTCAAAGTGATAAATATACACGTGCCCGTAAGCACGATAATTTAAGGCAAAAATATCTGCTCTTGACAAAAATTAGATAACAATTTTCATAAAAAGGTTGGAGCAATATCTGTTTTAATGAGCTTAAATGAAATCATACACATTTTAAAACACAGTAAGTAAAATGATATTTTTGCTAAGATCATTGGGTTGATAAAAACTAATAAAAAATTGTATTAAATCAAATCAAATCAACATTAACATTAACAACAACATTAACAATCAACATTATCAACATTAATCATAATCATAATCAACATTAACAATAGATGGTACCTGTAACAAACATTAAGTCTATTTATTTAAGTCTGTTCCTACCTTTACAAACTCCTTGTCTCTTAATGATATCTCATGGGTTTTTACATGGCGGCCATTGAGATCTTGATGAATGAGTATAATCGTTGGGTTTGGGCACCCATGGAGAAAATCCAAGTCTTGAACTTCTAACTCTTCCATTCTGCACAGATGTTACATTTTTTGTTAAACAATAAAGGCATGGGTCTTAGGACAAGAACAAAAACTCACTTAACTACTACAGAAAGGATCTCTGAATGCTATTGATTACTGTAATGGATGAGGATAAAATATTTTGAGCTACTTACTTACTTTGATACTTTTAAGTCTCACACTGGAAGCACTGATGTGCCGTGGTTGCAATTTGTTCTTGGTAATCACTGAAAAATGTTTCCAGTTTCCACAGAGTAATAAGGCTTCTTTAGAAGGAAGCCTTTAGTTTTCAAGACTTTTACATTTTCAATAGCTCTTAATTCTATTGGTACCCTGTTGAAAACTTTAGTACATGAATCTTGGTCCATTTTTTAGCTAGGCTCAATGACACTTGGGGTATGTGTAGATTATTTCTCTAGCAAGTGTTGTAGCTATGTATGAAAAAAATTCTTTCTAAAACTTTCAGGCTTCCTTTTGACCATCAGTGTTGACTCCAGAATGAAAAGGGCTGGTAAAGTTAGGATTTTTGATTCTACAAATAGTTCTTGACAGTGGGCTATATAATTTTTATTGCAGATTATTCTAATGACGGGTTTTTCTAGCAGGTTAATGTGTTGAGCAAGTGGGCTGTTGCCCCAGAAGACTATTCCATATTTGATGATGATATGGAAACAACCAAAATAAACCTTAATGAGTATGTCTTTGTCAACTAGGTTTTGCAGCCGCCGCACCATATAACATGTATTTTTGCCATCTAAGGTCTTCAATGATGGTTATGCCAAGATACTTGATATAGCTGAAAAAGCAGACGCTTACACCTTCGAGTCGAAGCAATGTCCAGTTTTTTTTTCTGTTGTAAAATTGTATGGCTTATGTTTTTCCTTTGTTAAGCAATACTTTATTTGCATAACACCATTCACTCATCTGGTTTAAACCTTCTTGGGCTTTGATCCTGAGTACGGTAGTTGTTCATTCTCACAGTGAAACAGATGGCTGATGTTGTCGGCAAACATCCATACATTACCAACAGTTAAGGATTCAGGTAACTCATTTACATAAAGGAGGAACAAGACTGGGCCTAGGTTCGAGCCCTGAAGCACACCTGTGTTAATGGGAGGCGAAGTTGCAGAACGAAAATATCAGATAGTCCATGTGACAAGGGTGCCGTAAAATTACAATATGTTTCCTATTCTTCAAGTATGTGGCTATCCAATTCAGAGGCTTGCCACTTATACCCTTTGACATAAGTTTCTCAAGTAGCTTTGCGTGCGACAGCAAGTCGTAAGCATTTGTCATGTCATAGAATACACGCGTTCAAATGTTTATTGTGTTTACCCAAAACAAAAATAATTAAAGCATCAGTCACAAGTGCTTCGCGGTAAGTGGAGAAAGAGTATGATGGTCTCGTTTTTAACTTGAATTGGAATAGGCCTACTGTATATATTTTTTTAATGAATATCTTTTTATTTTTTAGTAGAGTTATCGTGTATTTCTCAATGTGTTTCCCGTGCTCTTTTAAACTTTATCTCGCCACAAATAGGCCACTTTTAAATTTAGTAGTAAACTATACTTTTAACACACTGGGAAAACTACTGCATCAGACTTTAAAAAATTATCTGATATTTCGTAATCCATTAATTGTTTCTAAGTTAAACACAACAATAATAATAATAATAATACAGTATCTTTATTGCCGTGAAACAAATATAAAATTGCATGGCATCCGTCAACATTTAATACAGGCATAACAAGCGACAGCAAAACAAATAAATACAACAGCATAAAAGAATTAAAAATACGAATGATTAAAAAATTACACAGAACTTGTCATTTGATTGATTTAGAACCTCAGAGCAGCCGAACACCATATACTCATTTGTGTCAAAAAACTCACCCACAGTGTAATATTCTTTATTTAATCAGATATCTTTTTAAAATCCGTTTGAACCGTTTTTCGTTCCTTTCTTTCCTTATTTGTTCAGGAAGACTATTCAAAAATCAAACTACTATTCAAAATACGGCTGTACAATTAATTTTAGTGTAAAATTCAGCTAATTGAACATCAACAAACTGTGTTTTGACCTAACCGAGAACTTCAGTTGTAACTTATGTTTGTGTATCGAAAGTTATTTCTATGACAGGAAAGGTGAGATGATCGCTATTTGTTTTTGTCTTTTGAACTATTGAAACCAGAGTGATGACAAGTTTTTGTATCACCTTTGTCGGGGAAATAAATATGTGCACTCGAGTTTGAGCCTAAATATCTCTGAGATAAATTATCTGATTTTGTTGAAACAAAAATTAAATATAAGCTTGTTTAAATACATTTTACGTCGTGTCAATTAAAAAAAATTCCGTTTACAGGCAGTCCTGCCTGTTACTTTATTTTCAATCAGTTAGTTTTCAACTAACTAAAACTTCTATCAGTTACTTTTTAAACTAACTAACTAGTAACTTCTATCAGTTACTTTTTATGGGACTAACTTCTAACTTCTAACTAGTTAGATATTTGGACTAACTTTCCCAACCATTCTTAATGGTATACTTTGCTCTATTCCAGAGTGTCATGACGGCCTTCTTATCTGATGTAATGGCAGTAATGCCTCTGAAGTTTTGATCTTTTGATATCTAGCTCACTTTAGGCCTCTTTTTTTACCTCTTTAACCTTGCATTTGCCCGTCCACATATACTACAGATCTGTGCGTGGAACGTATCCAGCAATGCAAGGGATGAGCCGGTACATTACGAAGATGAACTGTACTGATAAATTTTAGTGGCAGTGATCAGTATCCGAACCCACGACATCGCTGCCTTGGGCCCGAAGTCCGTGACGCTACCAACTGAGCCACCGACTCACTCTTTTTGTTGATAGTAAACTATTGACTGTTTGACATATGTACATCTTTCTATTTTTGTTGTATGTAAAAAGGAGATTCAGTAGTTTAATTTTAAATGAAAATGTTCACTCGTACAACACTAGAATCTCTCACTTCATAGGTATACAACTTTTCAACAAACTAAATTCTACCTCACCATGTTAATTATAATGTGTTTAAGACTACTTTGTACATTTCAAATTGTTGTTCAAAGACCCGTACTTGTTTTAGTTTTAAGTGCCACTTTAGTAATTTTTATTTACTTTTTGTTAACTTGTTTAAAATCTATTTTTTTTCAATTCGCCATGTTAGTATTGTTTTATGTACTTGTTCTATTTTAAATTGTATTTTTCCTATATTTTGAACCTAGTTTTTCATTTAGTAACTGCCATTAGTAGGTTTTTACTGCGTAGGGAATAAATAATTAGTTTCCCTTATGACTTAAGGAAACAAATTCTAAATATATAAAAGGCAAAGCCCTCACTGACTGACTCGCTCACTCACTCACTCATCACTAATTCTCCCACTTCCCATTTACCTAGGAGGCTGAAATTCGGTACACTGATTCTTTGGGCATTAAATAGGAAAACTAAGTAGTTTTTATTCTGATCGGGCTTTCGGGCTCCGCCCCAGTGGCTCAGGAGTTTCCAATGTTAATCTTATGATTTTTCATATTTAAAAGGAATTAATGAATCTTAACAGCTGTTTATATTAAACAAGTTGGTTCCGTTCTATGATGTTCAATAGCATTAAAGTTACAAGGATTACCAACAGGGTGCAGCACTATTATTATTTTTTAATTTATAACAACAGCTAATTTGCAACCAAAAGGCGAGTTAGCGTAGCGAACGAGCTAACCTGAAGGCAAGTGAACGCAGCAAACGAGCTCCAACCTAAAGCCCGCGGGTACAGCTAGTTAAATGTATACATGAATGTAGATTAAAAATCTCTGAAACATTCATCAACACTTCTTGTTATTTTACTTGATGCCCAGCTTTGCATTGACATTAGCCGTTTGACTAATTCTAGGCATCGATATATAAACACAATGGATCGCGCGCTGAGTAGCAGCTGTGCAGTCCGGCTACAGACAGCTCCCCCCACCACTTTCCGGGCATACCTGCAGCGCTTTCATTTAATGCAATGTTATTTTACACTTGAATAACACCTACATCACATGTGATTGCATCGTTTAACATTCGTTATCTATATTTTACAGTATTAACTGTTTATTGTGTAAGTTTAATTGATTTTGTTTGTTGAAAAATAATAAATATATTTTGATAAAAACTCCAATATTGTAAAACAGTTTTGGGACAGTTTTGCTTACTAAATGATAAGAACAGAGGGAATAGGAACAATTAAAGACAAAAGTAGGGCTATATATTTATAATTTAATCTGTACACTCAATTTATGAAAATGCATTTCTTAATCAAACAATATCATAAAGAAACAACACAAATACATAAGGACACGCGTTCAAAACATCATACGTTGCTAAACAAAGGATGTTTTGTCAATTTCTGCCTATAATGCCAATCTTTGCATTTACATATGCTAATGTTTATTTGTTTGCTTTGTGTTAGAATAAATTTAATTTGCACATAAATTCAAGAAAATATCTTGCTTAACAAAACGATATCCTATACAGGGTGTCCCATAAGTAAACAGCCAATCCCCGGGAATTGGTTCTATGGGTCAAAATAAAGAGAAAATCAAGAATAACATTTTTTTTTTTCAAATCACTTCGTTAACCAGATATCCACCATTTTGTATTTTTTACATAAACATTTTTATTTATGAAATTTATTTCAACCGATCTTTATAAAACTTGGTATGTAGGTTAAGATAGAAAAGACCAATGCTAGAAAAAAATCATCTTGGTTAAACTTAAAATTTCAAAATGGCGGCCATTTTAATTGTTTGAACTTAAATTGCTCAAAAAAGGCTGTTATGAAAAAAATGTCAAGAATACTTCTATTTAGCATTTTTATTCCGTATCAAACAATACAAAGTTCAAAAAGATCGAATAAGAAATAGCTGAAATATTACGATAGGTATTTAGTTGTAAAATGGGACCTGGTTAACGAAGCGATTTTGGAAAAAATGTTATTCTTGATTTTCTTTTTATTT